AGAATGGCATTTAGGGCTCTTGTACGTAGGGTCACTATGAGTCGCAAACAACTCGATGGCACATAACAACAACAACAACCATATGAACGGGAGCCAATGGTAATGAAGGAGGAAGTAGACGCTGCATTGAAGGCATTGGAAAAAAATAAGGCCCTAGGAATAGATGGGATACAAATTGACTTGTTTCAATTAACAGATGCAGCCTTGGAAGCACTCACCAGTCTATGCCAGGAAATTTGGAGTATGGCGGCTGTCTGTCCAAAAGATTGGAAAAAGTCCATGGTTGTTCCCATTTCCAAGAAAGGTGATCCAACTGAATATGGAAATTATTGAGCAATATCATTGGTACCACATGCAAGCAAAATACTGCTGAAGATCATTCAAAAACAGCTGGGACAATACTTAGATAAGAATTGCCAGAAGTTCAAGCAGGATTTAGAAGAGACCATGTCACTAGAGATATCATTGCTAATGTGAGGGAAGCCGAATATCAAATTTAATAATAGTAGACCAAATGCTGTATCGGGAAATGAGGGAAACTTAATACAAGCTGAAGGTCACCCTGTGACACTGGGGCATTCCCTAGGAGTCAACATTGTTCTTAGTTTGTGTCAAATGAACCCGGCCCTCTTGAGATTAGCATAAAGAGGAACTTGGCCTTATCTGTAAAAGACTTCACCATTATCCTTTGTTTTTGCTTTGTACTTCCTTGTGAGTTTACTTTGCTTACCTTCCTTATGATTCTAAATAAATACTCAGAGAAGCATGGCTTGGGGCCTTCAGTCATGGGAACTGTTGGCCCCCCGTTTTTCACACTCTTTGTTCTTTATCATTCCTGGTAGTCTATCTCATTATTAATAATTATAAAATTATTTCATTCTTTGGGACCCTCGGTCTGCAACACTAATGTCAGATAGATCCTGGCTGAAAGTAAGGAATATCAGAAGAATATCTATTTGTGCTTTATTGGCTATACAAAGGCATTTGACTGTGTGGTTCACAACAAGTTGTGGCTGACACTGAAAAGAATGGGAGTCCCAGAGCACTTGATTATGCCCGTGCAGAACCTATGCCCGGACCAGGAGGCTATTGTGCAAACAGAGCAGGGGAGCACTGCATGGTTTGGAATTGGGGAGGGAATGTGTCAGGGTTGTATTCTCTTTCCCTACCTGTTCAATATATATGCTGAGCAAATTATCCAAGAAGCTGGACTCTATGCAAAGGAGTGTGGCATCAGGATTGGGGGGAGACTCCTCAGTAACCTGCATTATGCAGATGACACAACCTTGCTTGCTGAAAGTGAGGAGGACTCAAAGCACATGTTGCAGCAGATCAAGGAATGCAGCCTTCAGTATGAATTGCAGCTTAATGTCAAGAAAACAAAGATTGTTATCATTGGGCCAATAGGCAGTGTCATGATGGATGGAAAGGAGATTGAAACTGTCAACAGCTTCATCTTGCTTGGATCCACAATTAACACCCTCAGTACAAGCAGTCAGGAAATAAGGAGATACATTGCACTTGGGAAGTCTACAGTCAGGGACCTTTCCAAAATATTGAGGCGTAGTGATGTCAGTTTGAGGACAACTCAGGTGAACACATTCAGGCCATAATCTTTCTGATTACTTGCTATGCATCCAAGATCTGGACAAAGGATAACAGAAGAAGAATTGACATGTTTGAGCTGTGGTGTTGGAGAAGAGCATTGAACATTCCACGGACGATCAAGAGAACAGATATGTCTCGGAGAGGGTGCAGCTGAGGTGCTTTTTGGAGGCAAGAATGAAGAGGCTTCACCTCACATACTTTGGACATGTTACTAGGAGGGGCTGTTCCTTGGAGAAGGACATGATGCTGGTAAGGGTGGAGGGATGGCAAATGAGAAGGCTGTCAGCCAGGTGGATTGACACGGTGATTGCTGCAATGGGCTCTTGTGTGTCAGGAAGTGTGAAGATGGCGCAGGATAGAACAGGGTTCAGATCTTTTGTTTATGGGGTCGCTGTGAGTCGTGTTTGACTGGAAGGCACCTAACAACAACATGAGTCGCATGTGACTTAATGGCAACACAACAGAGTCTCCAACAGGGACTTAGGAAGCCTTCAGGACAGGTGGGAGAGGGAAGGGGCCCTGCAGGGGGCGCCAGTGAAGACAATGCTGTGAGCAACTCACAGGCGCTGGATCTCAGGAGCACACCTTCTCGGGTAAGGGGTATATTCCCGGCTGTGTCCATGTCTCCTGGGAACTGCGTCCACCTTGTGTGGTCCCAGGACAGTCTTATTGACAGGCCAACGAGGGGGAGAGGAAGCATGGATTCCAGGGATGCAGCTCCATCTGTCCTCTCCACCCCACACAGGCACACACATTCACATTCTGTAGGGGATGTGGCCGTGGGGATGGAGGGATAACTTCTGAGATTCAGCAGCTGGTTTGAGAAATGGACCGGGTGGTCAGCTCATCGTTATGTTTTGATAGCAACACCCAAGATGTCAACCAGTGAGGTGTGAGTGGACTTGATCACAGCCTTCATCTCAATACTGGGACAGGTCCATGGGCAACAGGAAGCTGTGTCCTGGAGGCAGGCAGAGCAGCGCTGAGCAGCACCTGGCCACCTTCTAGTTCTGGTGGGAATTATCTTGAGTGTCCTCGTGGGTGGCAGGCAGGGGAGTCTTAACCATGTGACCTTTGTGCTTGTTCTCAGCCAGCAGAGGCCACTGTGGGCCATGTGGCACCATGGAGGGGTGACACCGTGGGCAGCGGGCACCATGGACTGGCCTTCACCCATGAGAGACACAGGTGAAGAAGTGGAATCTGTTGAAATCACAAACATCAGACTGGCCCACACTGCCACCCAGAGCCCCAGGGGGGGCAGAGATAGCCGGGTGGAGCTCCCCAGGGCCATTGCAGCCCTTTGCACAACTAACATCTTGAGAAAATCAAGTTCTGTGTGAACAACTTCAGACAACACAGGGATAGAGTCTGTAAAAGGTTCACCAATTTGTGTAAATCTCACTGTTGGCTGGGTGGGGTGGGGGTGATGATAGAGGTGTCAGAGCTGAAGAAGGGACAGGAACAGTAGAAAAAGTCATTTTAGTTTTTATTAAATATATTCTCTTGACACAAATCTTTAAAATATATAAACATTATATATAAACAAAGTGTCTTCATGGCATCAAAAGTATAACTCCAGAACAGATTGAGCAGCGGTGGGGGGGGGCGGGGGGGAGTTTGGCCGTGGGGGACAGTGGCACTACCAGGACCCCAGAGACACACTGGGGTGAGCAGGACCAGGGACCACCCCCAAACCCTGGTGCCCTCTGGCCGTGAGCAACCCTCCTGTTGACCCTGGTCTCCACATGTGTTTGGGGCCTCGGGTCTCTGCCTCCCAGGTGCCGGACAAGGCTTGAGGTGGAGTGAGGCGCTCACCCACCATGATGCCCCCAGACAGCTACCCCAGGCTGCCCAGACCCCAGGGGGCTTCTCTGGGGAATGGCTGGCAAATAAGAGGGGCTTTCAAGCAACAAGAGGGGCTTTCAAGCTAGCAAGTCCCAGGAGAGGGCAGGGACCAGCACAAGGGATGAGAAATACAAGTATCACTCGGTGATACCTGAGTATGGAATATATGCCACCTCAGATCCGTTCTCACCATAGGCTGCCGTTTGGATTAAAAACCCAACTGTCCTGGGCTGGGCCTGCCAGGAAGGGTATCCACGCTAAAAATCAAAACCAAATCAGAATCCTAATTCATTCATTAGGAAAAGTGTTGCCTGGTGGTGGTGGGGGGGGGGCGGGCTCCAGCCTCCTCAGCTGTGAGACCAAGGGTTAAGCAGGGCAGCCCTGGCAGACACAGGCAGGAGGTCGTGGTGCCAGGCTGCAGCTGGGAGGAGGCAGCGCTGGGTGGCGTGAGTGGCTGCATTTTCCTGGGCTCCCCCAAAGCAGCAGACAAAGCTGAAAGCGGAGACAGCGGGGTCCCACCCTGGACAGTGCCTCACTGCTTGCAGCCAGGCCTCTGCCTGCTGTCATCTCAGCCACGTCTGCACAGTCGGAGCATCCATCCTCCTGTCCCCCTCTGGCACTTCAGGCCCAGCAGGCGGGCGGGTCTGAGGCACTGTGCATGGGTGCGCTCCTTTTTCAGCTCTCTGCGAGTTCAGGAAACAAGAGGCGAACCCCGAACCCCGGCCCAGGGAGCAGCCCTAGCCCTGCAGGTGCTCGAGCAGGATCTGCATGAGGTCAAAGGTGGTGAAGCTGATGCCAACCGCGATGGGACCCTTGAGCCAGTTCATGCTCAGGCCCTTGTAGAGACCGCGCACCGCGCCCTCCTCACGCACGATGGTGCGCATCGTCTTCACGATGGAGGTGTGCGGGAAGCCCGTGACGCCCGCCGTCTGCATGCGCCGCCGCACCACGTCCAGTGGGTAGGAGGCCGACTGCCCGATGATGCCCGCGCAGGCCCCGAAGATCATGCGCTCGAAGGGGTAGGGCTGTCGGTGGCCGCTGTACTCTGCAGGGGAAACAAAGGTACAGAGTGTGGGATGCATGGCCTTCCCAGCAGGAGCTCCAGGTGCACTCGAGTACCCCGCCCAGCCCACCCTGTCAAATGTAACAGGGCAGGGCTGTGTGTCCGCACCCAGGACGCCCCTCTTCCTTCTTCTCACCAGAGCCCACGACTCTCAAAGTCCCCAGGCCATTCCTTTTTAAACAAACGTGAGCAGCCTACAGACATGTGGGGAGCTCTGGTGGCCTAGTGGTAAGAAACTGCACTGAAATCTCAAAGGCAAATTGCACACCTCACACACCTCAAAGGCAAAAAAAAAAACCCTCTCTGGTTCAAATTCATCAGCTGCTTTGCGGGAGACAGATGGGCGATCTCCTCCCATCTTTCTGCCTCTGAAAACCCGCTGGAGGGTCAGCTATTGGGTGGTTCTGACTTGACAATACACAACAACAATAACAACACCACAAACATGCCAGAAAGGTTCAAAGAATCCCTTGACAAAAGTCCTAGGGCCTGGAACGAGCTGTTGTCCACATCCCACCACTCCTGGTCCCTAGAGTCAATGCCTTCCTCACCAGTGCCCACCTCTCCCAGGTAAATGTTTCCAGAATGTTCATACTTTGCCATAATCAACACAGAGCAAGAGGCCTGATGGGTCTTTCGAGGCCCCTGCAGGTGTCAAAAAGAGAAGAAAGTCTGCATGAGCCACCAGCAGGGATTCTCTATGGGAAGTTCTGCCACAAAGAGTGACTCCTGATGTGAACTGGGAACTTGAGCTAATACTGGTTCATTAGTGGGAACAAATGTGCCACACAAATGCAAGATGCGACTATCAGAAGAGCCTGTGCAGGGGGAAGAGGGCCTGCAGGAACCCAAGGACTGTCTGAGGAGCCCTGGTGGTGCAGGGCGCTCAGCGGAAGGCCCAGTGCGTGTAAGCCGTGGTGGTCGGCTTTTGTGAAGACTGCAGCTTCAGAAAGCATAAGGCCACTTCTGCTCTGTCCTCTACAGTTGTCAGAAATCGGACTGGACTCTGCGGCCTCGGGTTCTAGACATCCTCAGCAGTTTGTTTCAAAATTTGAAACTGCTTTAAACAATCAAATCTACTTTGAAAATTCAGCTCTAAGAGTGCAAAGCTGAATTTAAAAATGTCATTTGTTCCCCAGACTGGTAAAAACCTTTAACGGGTCTGACAGTGTTGGTGAAGCCAAGCACAGCGGCCTGAGGGGCTGCGGCCCAGTGAAGCCCAGCCTGGTGACCACACCCCAAAGCCTGCTTTCAGGGGTGGCTGGTTACAGAGGAAAGCTGTAAGCAGCCGCCTGGGGGCGCACCTGAGTCCTCTGCAAAGATGATCCCAGAGTCACACTCAATTCAGGGCAGCTGACTAAGCAAGTGTTCAAAGGCCGTGTTGAAGGAATGCAGGACTCCTGACCCCGCACCTGTGAAGGTGACCTCTGTGGGGCCAGAGTGAGGAACCCTACTCAAGTCCTTAGGAGCCATTCGGAAGGGTTTTCCCCTCGTCCTGCCCCACCCTCCACGCCTCCAGCCTGGCAGAATCACCTTCTGTTCTTTAAAGGCGCCCACCTGGTGGTTAAGGCAGCTACAGGAGACTGACGCCATCCTAGAGGCCAGCTCCTGCCTCAGAGGGGAACGCTCACCACAGGGCGCTCAGAGGGTCCCAGAGGGGAAGGGGAGCCATTACCCTGTGAGTGTCACTCCTGTAGTCATTAAACTTCTAATGTACTTTTAACAACCCACAGGTGCATTTTTAAAGCTGGTTAGAGGGCTACGCTCCACATTTTTAATAAAGGATCCTGGGGAGGGGAGACCTGGGATTTACCAACATTTTATCTCATCAACAAAGAACATTTTGCAGCAAACGAGACAACATATGAATAACTGTCCTTTCTGGACAGCAGGTATAGATGTTCCGGTAGCATTCTCTGTACCTTTATGTATTTCTAAGTGTTCTCAAAATTATCAAAACCAAAGCGCATCTCTGATGTTGCAGTTCCACCTGCACGCTGAGCTCGTGTATGAGCACGGGCAGGTGACCGTGTGTGCTGTGAGGGACCCCACTGCGCTCCTGTGTGATAACGGACGGGTGACCGTGTGTGCTGTGAGGGACCCCGCTGCGCTCCTGTGTGATAACGGACGGGTGACCGTGTGTGCTGTGAGGGACAGCCAGCCTACAGGAGGGTACACTGGATGCTGGCAGGATGACTCAGAGAACTTGGGTATCAAGGTTTCCTTGGCTCAAGTGTGAGCCCATGGATGTCAGGGCCCAGGACCTCACAACCCAAGCCCCGCCTCCTGCCCCTCACCTTTGTGCAGGTTCTTGAGCGTCTCATAGGTAAAGAAGCTTAGCCCTGCATATGGAATGACACCCAGAAGGGTGGGCGTGAAGCCGTGGTAGAGGGTCTTCAGGCCTTCCTCTCGAGAGATGCGGATGAAGACGTGAAAGATGTTGCTGTACCTGTGGGAAGGGTAGAGGATGGGAGGGTGGGGGATAGATGTGTGGCCCACCAGGGCGAGGGACCAAGTTCACAGCCACCTGCTCTCCAGGAGCTGGGCATGTGTCTGCAGCGAGGGGGCCTCCAGCTTTTGGGCACCGAGCCATGTGCTCTGGAATCACAGGGACCCATGCATGGAAGCTCTGACTCCCTTGTCAGCACTGGGGTTACCATGAGGGCTAGGCCTTTATTTCTCACTCTTATGCCCGTAACACATCTGTGCCCATTTCTGAAGGAAGCAGGCTGTGCTGTGCCTATCTGAGAAAGTCACCAGTGAGCAGGGGCTGGACCCGGGCTGGACCCAGGCAGGGCCCAGTGAGGGCTCTCTCTAGGGAACATGGGCCCTCGTGACTCACATCTCCTTTGGTGTCACAGCCATCCGTGCTCGTACCAGGTCCAGTGGGTAGGTCAGTGAGGCAGCCGTCGTTCCTGCCAGCGCACCCGCCAGGAGCCGGGGCCATGGGGGCAGGGCACTGTGGTGGAGGGCAGTGAGGATGAGACCCTGAGACATCGAGCCAGACAGATGGACATACACACCCGACAGAGAGAGAGGACAAGAGAAAGGGAAGGGGAGAGACACAGGGTCCAGCCCCAGGGCACTGACACTTCTCCATGAAGGGATGCCGGGCCCACCCCCCTTCCCTGGGGTCTTGCGGGGCTAGGGAGGGTAGGTCCAGGATCAGAGAGGGGACTAAGGAAGGGGACAGGACTGCAGAGGGGGCCAGAGAGGGTTCAGGGAGCCTCACTCTCCACAGAAGCCATAGTAGCGCCCCAGCACCCGCTTGTACTCCTCATGGGCGCTGAACTGGATGGCGGCATAGGGTACCACGCGCACCATGGTGGCCGAGTTTCCGCGCCACAGGCTGAAGAATCCCTCATTGAGGTAGGTGTAATAGAGCAGCCGGAAGGCCTCCTGGGGGGGGGTTAGAGGTCACCAGCCCACCTGTGCCTGAGGGCCACACTGTACATCAGGTGCCTTCCACCCCAGCCCTGCAATGTTCTAGGACACCATCCACTGGCAGAATTCCAGATCCCTGTATCCACACCCCCAGTAGCCTGGGGTCTAGCTGTAGGGTGGGATGCACAGGGAGAATGCATCTCTCTCTCACACAGTTCCCCTCTTTCCCTTCTAAGAGGACAGTTAGGGTGAGAAACCCAGAGTTGGTGGCCTAGCACCTCACCTTGGCAGAGAATCTCTTTGAAGACACTAGAAGTAAACACACAAAGCATGTTAGGTTGCAATTGTCACACCTGCCAGACACCACCCTGTGACCCCTGACCCCGTCAGTCTGCAGGGCCCACTGGGGACTGTGCTGTGAAGTGGTCACTGCAAGTCCTCCTTTGGGGCCAGGCATGGCTGGGGTGGGAGTGTCCCTGCAGCAGGTCTCTCTCTCCTTCCACCACTGAGGGGTCTCCATTCCCTACCCACCCACCCCAAGATCTCTCTCCAAAAGGGAAGTGGCCCATGCCCAGCTACCCCAGGATAAACATCGTGGGTCTCTGCAAGGGGCAGCTCCCAAGAGCGGCAGCAGGAGCCTGCAAGATGACCTCGCCGCATGCCTTCTGTTTGCTCTGAACTATGGCAGGCCTAGGAAGGGCTTGTACTGGGAAAGATCTAGAATCCCAGGCCATGTGGGCCAAGGAACAAAGGCTATGGCCCACAGTGCTCGCCCAGGGCCTAGACATCTGAATGTATTTGTACATGAGGGCATCTACGTACATGTATGCGTTTGTGTGTCATGTCTGCTCACTGAGCCTCACACTGGTCCCATGAGGGAGACGGAGATAAAACCTCCCACACTAAAGGTGCAGAGACTGAGGCACAGAGACCAGCTCCTGCAGAAAGAGTGTTCTCTCCTAACCCCTGCAGGGCAGTAGGGTATGGGGTCCTGGGCTCTGTCAGCATGCAGGACAGACAGACAGGAGGACGGCTTGTACCCTGGAAGATGATTTTGGTTCGGTCCAGTGGGGCTACCGCTGTCTTTGCAAGGGCACCGGCCAGGGCCCCGGAGAGCAAAGAGCTGAGCACGTCGTGGCGGCCACTCTGGAAGGAAGCACAGAACATGGCCATCAAGATGATGATGACCTCCTCATCGGGTGTCACAGCCAGACATTTCCCCAGCCTGCAGGTTCTCGCTGCACTGTTCTGGAGGTGTCTTTTGACACAGTTAAGGATTTAATATGTAGCAGGTCCCAATCGTCTGGTTGATCCACTACTGACTGCATTTTTCATTTACACTTGATAGCCTGCTTTTGCCATTGATTAGGGTCCCTAAATTTGCCCCACTTGTTCTTTCACGACCTTTATAGGCTTAGGTTTTATGCCTAGATCCTTGATCCATCTTGAGTTCATTTTTTTCTGTGTGGTATGAAGTATGGATCCAGTTTCCATTTTCTGCAAATAGATACCCAGTTAGTTGTGCCAGCACCAGACTGCACTGTATCTGGAGATAGCTACTGGCAGTACTGCTATTTTCACACTTTTTAAGTTTTCAGTTCTATAAGCATTGTAAGTTGTTGTTGAGTCAGAACTGACTCATAGTTGACCCACTAATGGCTTTCTGAGGTAGTTAATTGTATGGGAGGAGATTGCCCATCTTTTCTCCTGTGGGACAGTTGGTGGATTTGAACCATGTGCCTCTGGATTGGCAGTGCAACTCCTTACCACTAAGCCACCAGAGCCCTCCATTTTTTTAGGTCACTTTTGGGTTCCTTATAGTAGTCTATGGTTTTCGTGTGCCTTTGGTGAGGTTTATTCCTAAACACACCATCTTCTGGGTGGCTCTTGTTTTCCTCATTTCTTTTTCATAGGTCTCTCTGGTACTGTGGAGGAAGAAAACAGAATTTGGTATGTGGATCTTGGGTCCTGTTACTCTGCTGAACTGGTCAATCAGATCTAGTCATTTTCTTGCTGCATCTTTGGGATTTTCTATATACACGACAGTATCATCTGCAAGTAGGAATTTTACTGCCTCGTTGTCAATTTGGATGCCTTTATTTCCATTTTTCCCCCTTCCCGTCATTGCTCTAGCAAGGATTTTGATTACAGTATTGAATAGGAGTGGTGATAAGGGGCGTCTGTGTCTGGTTCCCATTAGCAAAGGGAATGCCTTCAATCTCTCCACTAAGAATAATTTTGGCTGCTGGCTTTCTTTACATGCTTTTAATTATATTGAAGAATTTCCCCTCTATTCCTATTTTGTTGAGCCTGACTGTATTTCTTCTCAGATTGATTTTTTTTCCCCCTCAGGCAGGCTCTGGTCTGTACAATCAACTCTTTTACTATGTTCCTTTTTCACTCAGAAGCAGGAGTGGCATCCACTTACGTAACAGCTTGCCTCCAGAAATCCTATGAACCTGGAGAAAGGATCAAAGTCACACAAGTGTTGAGGACTTTCATAGGGTTGCTATGAGTCGCCTACGACTTGACAGCACTTAACAACAACAACAGCTTTTCCATGGATCTTTCCTTGTCATTGTTAGGTACAGTCCAGTTGAGTATGACTCGTAGTGACCCTATGAACAGATCTGAAGCATGTGTATGCGGTGACTGTACAGACCACAGCTTGGGGTAAGGCACATCTTAGACCAAAAGGTCTAAATCACATCTGTGCTTTTTAAAACACATTAAAGGTGTCTTTTGCTGATTTGCCCAATGTGATCCATTGGATTTCTTGACTGTGACTTCTGTGGGTGGAAGGTGTGGCGGACTCTCATCAAGATGGTATGACCGAGTCAATCAAGAGGGACCTGAATAAGGTGGAGAGTGAGGATGGCACAGGACGGGGCAGAGTTCCAACCTGTCTTTCACAGCATAGCTATGAGTCATTGTTGACTCGAGGGCACCTGTCAACTTCACGGCCACTGCTACTTCTGTGGGCGTGGTGGCACATGCAGCAGAACAGCAGAAGGAAACCTCTGCAGTGTTCTGGAGGAAAGGTCACTAAAGCCCCAGGGCCAGGCCCGCCCTGAGTCTGGCCACTCCTGCTGAGGGCCAGGACCTGCCTGCCCTGTGCTCTGGCAGCTGGACTTGAAGTTCAGGAAGAGGTGAGAGGATGGCATCACTGTGACCTCTGGCAGAGTGGACTTTGTGTCCCGCCCCAGTGAGTGAGGGGTCAGTGTGTGGCTCACATGGAGTCAGGGGTTCTGCTTCTAGGGTGAATGGCACAGGCTGGGCAAGTTCTTTTGTTCTGGGGCAGGGGGAAGCTATTTTCTCTCAATTCACATGGAGGAATGCAGACAAAACTGCCTTAACCATAGCCCTTCAGGGGGCCCCTTCCAGGCTCTCCTATTCCCCTAGTATCTGGGCCCCTTGATGAGTCTCTAGCCCTACCCTGCACTTTCCACGATCATCTCCACTCCCCTACCTCCAAGTAACACAAGCTGGGCAATGCCATGGAAGGGGCGTGGGCATTAACACAAGCGGGGCAATGCCACGGAAGGGGTGTGGGCATTAACATAAGCTGGGCAATGCCACGGAAGGGGTGTGGGCATTAACATAAGCTGGGCAATGCCATGGAAGGGGTGTGGGCATTAACATAAGCTGGGCAATGCCACGGAAGGGGTGTGGGCATTAACATTAGCTGGGCAATGCCACAGCAGGGGTGTGGGCATTAACACAAGCGGGGCAATGCCACGGAAGGGGTGTGGGCATTAACATAAGCTGGGCAATGCCACGGAAGGGGCGTGGCCATTAAGACAAGCTGGGCAATGCCACGGAAGGGGCGTGGGCATTAAGACAAGCTGGGCAATGCCACGGAAGGGGCGTGGGCATTAAGACGAGTTGGGTAATCCTGTGGAAGGACTCAGGTTCCATTTGACAAAATCTTCAGTCTCCACAAGTGAGGGAGGAAAGGGCTCCCCACCTACTGTTCTTCACCCCAGCTTCCTGGCCAAATCTGTATCAGTGCGTCTTGATGAGTCGAATCTCCCACTTACCACCTACCACCCTGTTGGTCCCCATCTTCCCGTGGCCTTGCCAGCCCTGTTACATGGGCTAGGTGCACATGTGAGGGTGTTTGGCAGCAGACACGACAGAAAAATGAAGCGTTGACTTGGTGAGAACAGGCACGGCGCCGCAGCGATGGGCTGAGAGGGTGCAGGGCAGGGTCAAGTTCTCCAGATGTGGGGGGAGGGAGAAAGTACTTGCCTTTCTGGATCTGGGTGTGTGCAGGGTGGGCTCAGCATCCTCCGGCAGGTGTGCCGTGGCCTCCTTCACACCATTACCCATTCCAGGCCTGCTGGGCGGAGCCTTGGTCCTGGAGGGCAGAGAGACAGTGAGATGAGGCAGTTTGTCCCCAGGCACCTGGACAGAAGCCTCCAGCTCCCCTGGCTCAGCCACTGTGTCCTGCAGTGAGTGTGCCTGTGCCTGCCCCTGCCCCTTGTGTGACCGCTTAATGATTGATGAGAACGCTCCTGCTGCTTGCACCTCACACACCAGGTTCCCGGTGGTTTGTTTTTTAAGCTGGTGATGCAGTGGAGTCTTGGGCTCAGAGAGGCTGAGCTGTTCCCCTGAAGGTGCCCAGCAGGAAGGAGGGGCCAAGGATGGTGGGCAACCACACCCCTTCTTCACCAGGACAGATAAGCAGGTGTGGTGCTGAGACAGCCCACCTGCCCATCACCTCAAAACCTCCTCCCCCCACCTCCCCTGGGATTCCCTAGACAAGGACCCAAGTTTAATCATATGAACGCTTCCAGGAAGAAAAATCTGCTTTTCACTATGGGATGGTGGATGGTTTTTTGGACGCTCTAGGTTCCTCCCAGGAGGTACACATTGCCCTTACACTGGGGTGTGATGAAAACTCAGCGAAACATGACAAGTGTCCCACTGTGCAAAGGACAGGGATGGGCAGGACCGAGATGCTGCCAATGCCTATTCCTGCAGCTGTAATACTGTAAACGAAGTGGAACAACACAGAGGCCATGGGGCAGAGGGTCAGTGTCCCTCAGCCTGGATTTTCCCAAGCCCTCTTTCCCCCCACAATGCTCATGAAAAGCAGACACCGAGTTTGGGGTCAAAAGAGCATCAACAGGCTGAACAGAACATGGTGCTCGGGACTGGCTCCTTCCTACTAAAGCCCCGAGCAGATGCCCTGGTGGCTTCTGCCACCAGATGTTGGTGTTGGACTGCCAATCAAACAGAAGGAAAAATAAGCCCTGGACAGACTTAGCCCATGACCCAATAATTCCCTTCTTAGATGTATACCCAAGAAACCGGAAAGTAGAAATGAAAACAGATTATACACAAGCCAGTATTTTAAAGCAGGAGTAGCACCCACTTCCTAAACAACATGCCTCCAGAAAGTCTATGAACTTTGAAAAAGGTTGATTGTTATAGAAAGGCTTCAGGCATTTTGTTTATGGGGTCACTATGAGTTGTGTTAGACTTGAAGGCAATCAACAACAACAACATTTAAGGCTGAAAGTAAAGAATACCAGAAGAATGTCTATATGCTTTTTTTGACCATGCAAAGGCATTTACTGTGTGGATCATAACAAGTTATTGATAACATTAGGAAAAATGGGAATCCCAGAGCACTTAATTGTGGCCATGTGAAACCTATACCTAATCCAAGAGGTGGTTGTGTAAACAGAGCAAAGGGACACTACATGGCTTAAAATTAAGAAGGGAGTGGGTCAGGGTTTTATTCTTTCTCCATACCTATTCAATTTGTATGCTGATTAAACTATTCAAGAAGCTGGACTCTATGAAGAAGAACGTAGCATCAAGATTGGAGGAAGACTCATCAATAACCTGTGTGACGCAGATGACACAATCTTGCTTGCTGAAAGTGAGCAGGACTCAAAGCACTTGTTGCAGATGCTCAAAGAATACAGCCTTCAATCTGGACTGCATCTCAATGTCAAGAAAACAAATTCTTACCACTGGACTTATAGGCAACATCATGATAGATGGAGAAAAGATTGAAACTGTTAGCAACTTCATCTTCCGTGGATCCACCATCAATACCCTTGGTACCAGCAGTCAGGAAATCATGGGCATATTGCACTGGGAAAATCTGCAGTCTGGAAACTCAATGAACGTTGATAAGGATTGATAGTTATAGAAAGGCTTCAAGCCTTATGTTCATAGGGTTGCCATGAGTCGTGCTCAACTCGAAGGCAATCAACAACAATGACATTGACTAAAGTTGTCTGATTTAGGTCACAGTCTTTCCAATCACTTTCTATGCTTCTGACAGCTGAATAAGGGTAACAAGAATTGACATCTTTGAGCTGTGGTGATGGAGAAGAGTGCTGAGTATCCCATGGACAGCCAGATATATCTTGCAGAAACAAACATATCTTGGAGAAAGTGCAACCAGAGCACTCCTTGGAGGCAAATGATAAAGCTTCGCCTCACATACTTCGAGCATGTTGCTAGGAGGGTTTGTTCCTTGGAGAGGGACATGATGCTTGGAAAGGCAGAGGGTTGGCGAAGGAAAGAGAGACCCTTCACCAGGTGGACGGACACAGTGACTGCAGCAATGAGCTCTAATGTGTCAGGAAGTGTGAGGATGACACAGGTCAGGACAGTGTTCAGACCTATTGTTCACAGGATCAGTATGGGTCACACCCAACTCAGTGGCACCTAACAACAACAACAACAACAATATGCATGATGCTAACAGTGGGGCAAACCAGGAGATGGGAGAGTAAACAGGAACTCTCCATTATTTAGAATCTTTTTTGTTAAGTCTAAAATTATTTCAAAATTTAAAAATGTTTTCAGAAAGGAGTTGACAAAACCAGGACCAAAGGTTTTCTCCAGGGTGAGAACAGGGTCAGGGCAGGTCTGTGGCACAAAGATAGCTATTGTGTATTTAATCCTTTGACCCCGGTCCTTTGATCCATGTTAGTTCTGCTTCACAGACTAGGCAGCTGAGGCTCAGGCAGCTTAGGTGCTTGCCCAAGGCCATGGAGAAAAGGAACAACAACTGACAGGCCAAGGGGCTGGTTCCTACCAGGCCTCCCACCAGTACCAGTGCTCTGGGTCCACACAGCCAGAGGGTTTTCAGTGGCTGAGTTTTAGGGAGATAGATTGTCAAGCCTTTCTTCAACAGGTGCCTCTGATTTAAACTCTTAACCTAAAGGATCAAGGAAAAGTGGGGACTGAGGGAGGTCCTTTTCAGAGCAGCACAAATCAGAATCAGTCAACTTGTGAAAGCATATGTAGGACAATGGTAGGGATCCTTGGCCTGGTCTGGGAGGTCAGGAGTCATCACCCCTGGGATCTGAGTCGGACCGGAGGAGGCACTAGCAGCAAGAGCTTGATAGCATCATGGGGACAGGAGTCAGAATTGGGGCCGCAGAGAGGACCCAGGGTGAGAGTCCTGCTGTGGGCTGAAGCAGACTGGCAGCTGGGCAAGGAAGGTACCAAGAGACACCACCCTGAGATGCCCATGGGAATCGTGCCTGGGAGAAGGGGACAGCTCATCCTCTCAATATTCTAGAAGTAATTATAAGTAAAAGCCAGATAGTGTGGGCCTGGCCTAGATAATCAAGCATGCGGGACCAGATGTCATATGCAGAGAGGAGCTGGCTGGCCAACAAGGGGATGCTTAGCACAGATGCAGCTGGGAGGCTGACAGCGTCTGAGAATCTTTATGGAAGCCGAGGGTCACAGCCTTCTTCTGTGGAGTGAGTTGTGAGTGGGTTCAGATAAACTCCCTTTTAGTTGTTGCTGTTGTTACATGCTGTAAAGTCCCCTGTGACTCACAGCGACCCTAAGAACAGCAGCTCTGAACCCTGCTCTATCCTGAGCCAGTCTCACTGACTGACATACCTAACCCAATTGTCAAGCCAATCCATCTCATCCAGGGTCTTCCTCTCCTGTGTTGTCCCTCCACTCTTCCAAGCATAATGTCTAGTCCCTCCTGGCCACGTGCCCAAAGTATATGAGACAGAACTTCAAAATCTTTGCCTCCGCTTTCTCAAAAAGTTGCAAATAGAGATACCATTTGACCCAGCAATTCCACTACTGGGAATATACCCTGAAGAGACCATAGCTGACATCCAAGCAGATATATGCACACCCATGTTTATTGCAGCTTTGTTCACAATAGCAAGGAGTTGGAAACAACCTAAGTGCCCATCAACAAACGAATGGCTAGAGAAGCTGTGGTATATTCGCACAATGGAATACTATGCTGCATTAAAAAACAAGGAACTCATGCAATATTATTCAAAATGGTTGACTCTGGAGAACATTATGCTGAGTGAAATATCCCAGTCACAAAAGGACAAATATTACATGATGCCACTGTTGTAGAATGGGACTGTCCTTGGGGTTGGGGAGAGACTGAGTAAGATGGGTTCAATAATGTATACTGCACTGAAACAGAGGAGGGAGAAAACTGTTTAAAAGAGATATATAACTAGGTATTTCTGTCATCACAGGAGACTAGAGCGAGGGCTACATGGTGGAGTGGACCTGGGGGAGGGTTTGTAAAACAATGAAAGAATCTTTTCTTTTACTTTTCCATAATTTTTGGACTCATGTACTTATAACTTGTTAGTCAAATTTGTGTCTTCTAGGTTGCAACACCCCCATGATACATCTTCAAGGATATGTACATGTACAGCCAAGCACAATCAATAAGAGTGCATCTGAATTCCAAAATCAATCTCCATAATAGTCTATGTGTTTCCTACTGCCAAAGGGGCCCTTTAGAGTAGTGAGAGAAGATCTTCACCCTGAAACCCACAGCGTCCCTTTTCAGCAGGAAGTAGCTAAGAGAATACGCCATCCCCTTTTCCTTATGACTCAGGGTGAAGTCTCTCTCAGGGTGGAGTGATAGGGAATGGCAAAGGACACACTGACAAAGAAGATTAATCAGAACTGGCTTTGACAAGCACTGTGGCATTTGGACAAGAAGAAACTGGGAGGAGGGTAGAGAGAATAGTGCAACAATGAATGAATGGAAACCCAAAATCTCTGTAAATGTTTATGAAAATTAATAAAATATAATTAAAGGAAAAAAAAAATCTTTGCCTCCAAGGAGAAACTTGGCTTCACTCTCTCAAAGCTAGATCTATTAGTTTCTCCTGAAAGACCATGTGTACTCTTCTCCAGCACAACTTAAACACATTGATTCTTCTTCTGTCATCCTTTGCCACTGTCCATCATTTCCCTCCCCACCCCCACATCCTTCTCTGATGCAAAAAGCATGGCCTAGATCAGGTATACCTGAGTTTCTAGACTGACATCATTGTTATTCAGCACTCTGG